GATGTCTTTCCATTTCATAGTGTCTTTTTGTATTTCTTTTAACAGTGTTTTGTAATTTTCTTTGTAGAGGTCTTTTACCTCCTCAAAAACAAATTTTTAATTTTTTTCTTTGTGACTGCCAAAGGACTCGCAGGCTTAAGCAGAGAACATCTCTGTGTCAGGAAGAAGTGTGGCCAGGGCAAAGCATCATATTCTCTTTATTTGTACCAATGTTTCCAGATCTCAGCTCATACAACCTGATATTCTGGACCTCCCAGCCATTGCTGCCTCCCATGGCTTGGGTACCTTGATTCCATTTGGCCTGTTAATGATAAACTATTATCTCTGCCTGCTACACCTCTGCCAAGAGCTTTTTTTACCAGAAACTACTTTATAGTTATTATCTAATCTTTTTTTTTTTTTAAGATTTATTTATTTGTACATACAGAACTGGGGTATAGGCTAGAGGCTCAGGGGTAGCGAGAGGCTTCACCAGAGACAGAATGGGGAGCAGAACAGGCAGATTGACGAAGTACACTGCTAAGGGGAGCAGCGGGTGAGTCAAAAGTCCGCCACACTATGTGGTCACCTCCAGGGTATGTGGTCACCTCCAGGGCCAGCGGGAATCGAACTCATGCGGAAGTGGCTTTTAGCTTCTCAGTGCAGTGCTTTAACCCGCTGCGCCACCAGGGAGGGCCTATTATCTAATCTTTATAAAACCATGGAGGAAGTTTTCCTATCTAACAGACGGTAAATGATTAAGGAGAAGACAGTTAAAGAAACTGCTCAAGGTGACATGGTAATCCAGGGCCTGAATAATACTGAGTGTCGCGTAGCTCATTGTCCATAGTTCCATCTGCAAATATCCTAGAATCATTTGAGTTTCTGTTTACTTACAATTGTCTGATTTTTCTTAAAAATCACTGAGTAATAAATTAAATGAGAGGATGCATGTGAAGGGACAGCATATAGTTAAACTCTCCATGAAGAGTTAAATGCTGTTTCTTTGATTGTTGTTCACCAACTCTGGCTTATAGTCACATATTTTTGAAACAATTGCTTGATGAAGAAAGTATTTATAACCACAGATGTAATTAAGTATGTAAAGCTATTAAGACTTTACTTGTAAATTATGTAAATTACCAAAATGATTTTAGAAGCTGTGTTTTTAGCTTTTTATTAAAAAAAAAAAGTGTCAAAAGGGGCCTCCCTGGTGGTTCAAGGCGTTAAGTCTCAACACTATGTAGCTATCTGCAGCCACTACAGTACCAGTTCCATCCCCAGCCTGGGAGCTGACTCACATGGGCAGCAAACCTCTCCTGTCTCACCCACTGCTCCCCTAGAGTGACTGAACAGTCAATCCACATGTTCAGTCAGTCCATGTACTCTGCTCCCTACTCTATCTCTGGTGAGTCCTCTCACCTTCCCTCTGCACCTCTGGCTTATACCCCAGCTCTAGTATAAATAAATAAATAAAATAAATCATTTTTAAAAAACGGGTCAGAGGTGGGATTGCAATTTTAGATAGGATGGTCAGGACAGTCTTCTTGGAGACAGTGACATTTAAAGAATCAAAGTGTTACAGGACCGAGGGAGAGAGCACCCCTGAAGCCCCAAACCTGCTTGCTCTAAATAGGTTCTGCCGTCTGCCGCATCAAGATAAAAGATACAAGACTTTAACGAAAAGGGACTTTAATACAGTGAATATACAATATGGAAGACAAAGAACCTCTAAATCAAACAACTGAGGTTACTCATCCCCTCGTGGGCACAAGTCCACCCAAAAGGGATTGGCCCAAAGCAAGGCCTGAAAGCCAGACACAAAACTAATGCACCTTTTGGCCGGGACCCATCAAAAAGGGTCAGAAATGGCCAGACAAATCTGGGAGGAAAAGAACAAAATCAAAATTAATATAAACATTGCCATAGTCACCTACCTACAGGTATCTCACCCACATCTGCCTTAACCAGTCCAGAGCCAGGAAACAAGCATGGTTTCTTCCTCACATGCTTGCTGCTCCATGTGGCTTCCTCAGATCTCCTTCTGGCTCTCCATCCTGCTTCCTTCTTTCTCTTCAGATTCCTTCTCCTCTTTTTTTTCTCCTTAGCTCCACCCTACTTCTGGGTGGGGCAGGGAACCTGAAACTTCCGCTTTTCCTTGGGACCACCCAGTTACAAAAATAGGTAAGGACAGATACTTAAGGAGCTCTGGGAAAAGTATGTTCTAAGCAGAAGGAGCAAAGCAAAGACCCTGGGTGGGGTCAGGATATATGAATATGACAACAAAGCATTAGGAAGGTCCAACCACCCATGCACCCTGCTCCTTTCTGTCCATTTTTGGCTTTTGCAACTGCTGTTCTTGAAGTTTGATGATCCTTCAAGCCTTAACTGTCAGATTACAGCATTAGAAAAGACCTCAGACCCTCCCCCACAGGTTAAAAATTCTCCTGGGTACCCAAATATTCTGTAGCCCTTTTTCTGCTCCCTCAGTCTTTTGCTCTGGACTGTATTTCAAGGGTGTCTGGTAGGTATATCAGTGGCCCAGTGTGCATAGTAGTGTATCTGGTAAGTCATTAAGCAACAAATTGTCACTCCATCCATCACCACATAAAATCTAAACTCCCTGAAAGACTTATTAATCAACCTATAAAGAAAAAAACTGGCTGGTTGTGGTAGTGGTTTCTGGGAGGGGAGCTGAGGATGAGGACAGAGGGTATAGGAGAAAGACTTCACCCTAGTTAACCCTTTGTAGTTCTTCAAATTTATCAACTTATTTTGGTTGCAGTTCCCAATTATTTCCCAAAAGGTTTATTTATTTATACATACAAGAAATGGGGTATATAGGTCAGAGTTGTGGGGGGTGAGAAGACTCACCAGAGACAGAGAGAGTGGGGAGCAAAACAGGCAGATCCACTGAAATACACTGCTGAGGGTCACAGCAGGCGGGTCACGAGAGGTCTGTCAGCCATATGGGTCAGCTCCCTGGCTGGGGATCGAACTTGTGCTGCAGTGTCTGTGGATAGTTTCATAGTGTTGTGCTTTAACCCATTGTGCTATCAGGGAGGGCGCAGCTCCCAATTTTTAAAAATGGGTTTGTAGTCTTTTTACCTTCACCAAATTATTTTTTTAATTTTTAAATTATTTTCTATTTTCTTACATTATTGATTTTTGTACAATATTTGATTTCTCCCCCCCTGTGTAGTCACTATAATTCTGCCACGCCTTCCCAATATTCTAATTATGGTAGATTCACTAGTGTTGAACTAATCAATGTTTTCTCACAACTCAATTTTTTCCAGATATATTAAGCAAGCTTAAAGGAAACTTTCATCAGGTGTGCGAATTACCTATGCAAACATAAAATGCATATAAAAATAAAGAATTAAAAGACCTTTATAATGGCAGTATATGGAGTTTTAAACACACATTCAGTTATTCTTGTGGAGAGAAATTACAGTGATATACTGTAAAATTTCATTTGTTTGTCACAAAACATCCATATACTATACAGCAAATAATTTTGTTTTTAAAAAGCCCTGCATCTTTTGGGCCCTCCCTGGTGGTGCAACGGGTTAGGACTCAGCACTGCAAGCTAGCACAGCTGCTTCAGGGCTTCAGTACCCAGTGCTGGAGGCCATTGCACAGCATACCTCTCCTGACCCCCGCTGCTTCCTTCAGCAGTGTACTTCGTTGATCTGCCTGTTCTGCTCCCCTGTCTCTGGTGAAGCCTCTCACCGACCCTGCACCTCTGGCCTGTACCTCAGTTCTCTATGCATAAATAAAAATAAAATCTTAAAAAAAAAATGCCCTGAATCTTTAGCAGAGTGCAAGTGCTGCAGAATCCATCCCTATACCTGTCTTAACAAAGCTCATCAATAACAATAACAGAAATACCATTTATTAAACTTTCTCTTTGTGCTTGTTTTCACTTTGTGTACTTTGCCGCCATCCTTTCATTTACATTTGACGATCTTCCCATTTTGCAGATAAGGAAGCTGAGCCAAGTTCTGAGCCTCCAAGCTCCAAAAAGCACTGGCAGCCAGATGATCGCAGTTGGCCTGGCAGGAAAGGCCCTGCATACTAGAGGTGCCCCCTGGAGGTCGCTCGCAGAACGTGACAACTTAAAATGAGTGAGTTTGTTGAGCGAGCGGGTGGGCAGTAATCAGTGGGCTCTCTAGTTTGGTCTATCTTCAGAGAGTCCTAGCAGGTCTGGTATGGAATGGCACAGGACGATGGCCTGATATGGGTGGGAGACACAGACCTAATCCGAGGGGTTTGAGGGAATCTAAGCAGAGAGGCACGGCGCAACAGGCCTAATCCAGAGGGCTGTGTGGGAGATGTGGTCCCGCGTTTAAACAACACCTTGTTAATGGACACACACACACACACCACGCCGAGTCCTTGTTATTGGACACACACACACAGTACACACCACGCCGAGTCCTTGTTACTGGACACACACACACCACGCCGAGTCCCAGCGGCTAGTTGTGGGCGGGGCCCGGAGGGCTGGACCAAGACGTAACAAGTTATGGTTACTGGTTCCCTCCCGCGCCCGCTTGGGCGGGTCACTCTTCTAGTCTTAGGGTTCACTGCCTCAAGGAGGACGGGCTCTCTGGCGACGGGACTCAAGGGGGTCAGCTGTACAGACGGCGCTGGGCTTCTTGCTGTGGGGTCGCGTTCCCCAGATGTTGCATAAGGCCCTTTAAGTCAGGAGGAGAAACTGGCGCTCGCAGGTAGTCTCAGGCGGAGGTAGCAGCAAGACGCGAGAGCCCCGCCGACCTCGCCCCCGCACGCCCCACAGCTCAGCGCGGAATCCGCGGTAGGAGGGCGATGTCGCGAGCCTGACGTCATCGCGAGGCGCCGCGCGCTGCAGCTGCGCTCCTTGACCTTTCCGCGTGGGCATCCGCGCTGCAATGTTGCGCCTTATCCGCGCCGGGGCGCGGGCCTGGCTCCAGCCCTCGGGCTGCCGGGTGAGGACAAAATTGGAGCTGCTGGGGGCCGGGGAGGCCAATCTTGGAAGGTCCAGGGGTCACTTTTCATTCTCGTCCCCTTCTAACAGGGCCTGAACGTGCTGGGGGAAGAGGCGCTGCGGCCGGAGGAGAAGGCACAGCCCGCGGCGAGCCCGGGTGAGTTTGCCCGGGTCGCTCCAGGAGGGGCGGCTACGGGGAGCTCTCCTCAGCACTGACTCCTGACCTCTCGTTTGTGCCAGGTCCCCTGGCGCCCCTGTTGCGCAAGTGCGAGCTCCCGGTACCCGCACACCGGCGTCCCGTGCAGGCCTGGGTCGAGTCCCTGCGGGGCTTCGAGCTGGAGCGCGTGGGCTTGGCGGAGCTGCACCCCGACGTTTTCTCCTCCGCGCCCAGGTGTGGGGGAGCTGTAATGGTGAAATGGGTGGCAGAGGGATAGGAGCTGAGATTTGGGAATTGGGGTGAATTTGGGAATTCGAAATGAATTTCTTCACCTCTCAAAGGCAGTAATTGTTTTCCCTGCCACGGAGTGACGTGAGGTTGAGGACTGAGAGCTAATATATCCTCTTGGAGTTAGGGACACAACTCGAACCTAGGGACTGGATTTGTTACAGGGCACCCCAATGTGAGATTCAGATCCTGTCCTTCTCATGTCCTTCACTATCCCCATTCTGTCAAAACTCAGGAGGTTGCTGTGATGATTAATCCTGGTGCAGGATAAATCCTATAGAAATGGTGATTATTTTTGCTCTTAACTGGTTTTTGTGAAAGTGACTGCTAACAAATGCTAACTGTAGCAGTATGTGGACCAATTCCTGGGGTCAGGTTATATCACCTGCAGAGTTGTTTCATGCTTTTCATTTGCACTGTCTGGCACATAATAAGTGCTATTAATTTGTTGTTAATACTGTTATTTGTATGGTTTGTCCTTTTCCTTTACAGAGTCCTAGTCTAGTAGAGGGTGACAAGATTCTTTTTAAACAATCGCATTTTAAAAAAGGATTTATTTATTTATGCATACAGAACTGGGATGCAGGCCAGAGGTGTAAGGGCGGTGCAGTGAGAGGTGAACACCAGAAACAGAGTGGGGAGCAGAACAGGCAGACTGACAAAGTACACTGCTGAGGGGAGCAGCAGGCGGGTCAGAAGAGGTCTGCCATGCCACGTGGATCACCTCCAGGGCGGGGATCAAACTCATGCTGAAGTTCTATAGCTTTAACCTGTTGTGTCACCAGGGAGGGCTCGCCTTTTTTTTTTAAAAAAGTTTAATTTATAGCATAAAAGAACTGAAGTGTAGGCCAGAGGTGTGGGGGAGGTGAGAGGATTCACCAGAGACAAAGTGGGGAGCAGAACAGGTGGCTGCAGCATATGTGGGTCAGCTCTCTGGCTGGGGATTGAACTAAAGACCTAGTGGTGAGACTTAAGTGTGACAAGATCTTTAAATGCACTATCTTGTTTCATTATTAGCTGTTATGAGGTGCCTACTGTGTGCCAGATGCCTTTCTAAGTGTTAGGAAGACAACAGTGAATGAGCACAAGGTCACTAATGTTGCTTATAGTCTAACACAGTGTTCAGCAACGTTTTCTGTAAAGGACCAGATAGTAAAGAACCAGACAGTAACGTCTGACAGCTATTCATGTCTGTGCATGTAGTGCAAAAGAACATACAGAAACAGCCTGCGTGCCAGATTTGGCCTACTAACCATAGTGGGGTTTTGTTTTGTTTTGTTTTGTTTTTTTGTATAGTTTGTCCTTTCCCTTTACAGAGTCCCAGTCTAGTAGAGGGTGACAAGATTTTGCAAACTAGGGCCCTCCCTGGTGGCACAACAGTTTAAAGCACAGTACGATGGAGCTAGTCGTAGCCACTTCAACACAAGCTCGATCCCCTGCCAGGGATGTAATCTACATGGCGCAGCAGACCTCTCCTGACTCGCCTGCTGCTCCCCTCAGCAGTGTACTTTGTCTTATCAGCCTGTTCTGCTCCTCACTTTGTGTCTGCTGACTCCTTTTACCACCCCTGCTCCTCTGGCTTGTACCCCAGTTCTATATGCATAAATTAATAAATCTTTTTTTTTTTT